ATATATTTGTTTAAATCTTGTCAGTCTAATCACAATAAAATTTCTATTAAATATTAAAATATTACTATAATTAACATTTAAATATTTAAAATATATTAAAATGATGTTCTCTATCGAAATGTTCGAACATTTCGATAGAGAACATCATTTTAATATATTTTAAATATTTAAATGTTAATTATAGTAATATTTTAATATTTAATAGAAATTTTATTGTGATTAGACTGACAAGATTTAAACAAATATATTTAATTAGCCTAAATACTTTAATGAGAAATTCGAATTCGTTAATTACGTTTCATATAATTAAAGTCTTCCTTTAAATCTATAAATAGCTCACGTGGTGGGTGTTATACTGTTGTTTACTACAATTCTTCTGCAGTATCTGACAAATGCAGAATATAGTATTGGTATTTGATCTATTACATCAAAACCCACACTGACGTCTCTTGTAATTTCGTCAGCATATGGAGTTAACGTTAAGAGAAAATTGCTGGGTAAAATTTTGTATGTAGTTAACAAAAATAATGTTACCAACCACGACAGTGTTTACTCTTTCTGTAAGGAGCTAATAAAAATTGCCTTCTTCCACTGCCTTCTCATGAATTTATCTTAAAATATTGCATTTGTCGTACGAAAAAAAAAAAAGACTGGAAACTCGTAGTCATGATGGAACACATCAAATTTCTACCCGCGATTTTTGCAAATTCTCAATTCTGAATGCTCCTAGGCCGAAATTAAATAAAATCATTCATCACTAGCCTAACTTCAAAAATACTGGTTTCGTATCGCAAACGTTGGAAGTAACCGAATTGAGTGGTTTCGTTATCACATATGTACAGTGTACTAAAACGCAGTTTCGAAACTTGATTGCAAAACCCAGTGTCTCCGTGAACAGTAACCTTCACCATCGGTATCGTTCACGTGTGGCAGTAATTTGCAAGCGATATATAACCGGTCACGCTCATTATCACTAATTGTTTTCAGCACGTTTAAATTTTGTAAAATCGTATTATCACTGAACCTGACAATCCCTAACCAAGGCGCCGACGTGTCGTAACTGGGATCCACGTTAAGTCACGTAGGGATCGTTACAACCACGTAACTTTGAGAACGTTTCTGAAGACTTCGTTTTCAGGACGATGCTCGGATTGTTTCGGCCAATCAGGAACGCGGATTTGGCTTTCTTCTCGCAAGATCGAAGCTAGCCTCCTTCACAGAGGATGCGACAGCAGCCTTGGAACCACGGCCGTAGGCTAAACATTCATCAGACTAGAAATTCAAGTAAATTCTTGTTTCCAGACTCACTCACTCTATGGTGCAGGTAATTCTTTGAGAAGTCTGAAGCTGTAGGGACTTTTTTTTTGGCGGGATTTGCTTCGACCTTAAAGACTCTTACACCACCATTGAAGAGGTGATGCCACCCTTATCTTCCTTGAAATGGTTTGAACTGAACGTGTTCTGCCCCACTGACATCTCCGTTAATGTCATACTACTAGTGTGGAGTGTTATGGTGGGACAGGTTGTATGTTCCTTTTCAGGTGAAGAAATATTTCATTGTAGACGTTTTTCTTCTAATTTTTCAAGATGTCAGATTGAACGGTAAGAGTAACTGTGTTCTTAAAATGCATGACTGTGCATATTATTTAGAATTTACAGTCTTGTAATGCTGATAAATGGTATGTTACGGTAACCGTATAAGGGTTAATGACGCCACTTCATGGAGCAGCATTGCTTCGAAACCAGACAGTGCGACGACATATCTCGTGCATTTCCTTGTAGCAATAATCGCGATAACAACACTGAGAGACTAATCGATGCTAAATGTGCAAAGCTCGTTTAGACAGGAAACCACTGCTGATGGAGACCCTGGCGAAAGGAGGTGCTGGTCGTGTCTTGCTGTTAGCTAAAATATCCTTTGGTATGACACAAACTGAGCTCCGGCGAGTGGGATTTTTAAATGACAGAAATGAATGGAATCCAAAATAACTTCAGTGCAAATAAAATACGAAGTCCTGGAATTAACTTGCGAAAGCCGGAACCAACTAGTATGAACATAATAACGGTATTAAATAAGGAAGAAGTCCTTATTTTCTACTCAAATATGGAGAAAGTATAATAAATTATAATGTGGACGAAACAGGCATTTTTACCTTTCGTTGTTCCATCTAGACAGAAAGGTCGGATCTGCAGGAAGGTGACTGTTTGTTGTGCCCTGAGGGGTCTGGGATCTACGTACCGCCCATGTTAAATATCCCAGAAGAAGAAGAAGAACAACAAGTCACTTCCTGGAAATGGGAGGGCCTGAATGAGAAATTGCTCAACAAATGGATGGATAAATGAAGAGTTTTTCATACTCGTAGTGTGGCTCGAACATTTCACAAAACGGACGAAGAACCTGCTGTGCTTATAGTATACGACCACAGCAGCCACAAAGCCATTCAACTTTATAAATTTTGCAAAATAAATGTTTTAGTCGTGGGCTTTACACCGCCACATACATCACACAATATACAGCTTTGTCCCTTTGCGATGTGCCTTCAACAGAGGATGTGATGTTGCATGTATCTTAAATAAAGCAGAGTAATCAGAATTGAAAATGCTGTATCGCGGTTCTGTAGTAGGGGAGTATATCCATTTGATCCTCGCAAATTAGCGACGACCACTTTGTTCTAGCTGCTGGGTTTAACCAATAACCAAAGCTTCATTCACGATACAGTATTAGATAAGGAGAAACCAGTAAACTAACTTCCAGTAGCAGAAAGCTCCCGTCCAGAGGCGCATTTATCCTGTCCCTACCTAACAGCCTACCACAGCACAAGGCCAAAACCACTCGGAATTCATTACCTCTGCAACTTTCAGAAATAAATGCTATATTTAAGTATTTTTATTTATTACAAGTAATTTATATTTTCTTTCTCGAAACACACTGCCAAACGACGGGATCGCTGCTTTCATACAACAGGTATCTTACTTTTAGAAGTCACTCTGTACTATTCCCAGCGAAATATTGAGGGCATATTGTGACTGTCTGAAATATCCATGTGACTTGGGGTTTATCGTCCTAGAGGTCGTCACGGGCCAAAGTGTTAGAATTTCACCCGATTCTGCAAGAGAAGCGTTTGGCCGGATCCAGAATTTTATCTTCAAATATGTGTTTACAATGTGCACTGAGTATCTTACCATTGACAGATTTTTTTTTAAAATGTATAATAGCCAGTAATACTTGAATGAATTATCTAACGACGCCCTAAGAACATCTGACGTCATTTAAGCGTTTGAGGAACAGTATAAAGATATTGGATGCCAAATTTTTAAGATGTTATCTCGAAATGTTTCTGAGATGGGGCATCTACGAAAATTCCCGAGAAAATTATGTTGGTATGATTTGTTTCCCGTGCCTGATAGTGTTACGTGCATAACATGAACGCAACTACGAATTGCTTTGCTTTTCGAAAAAAAGAATGACCCCGAAAAAACTTGAAATGTTCTGTTTTTGTATTTTACCATAGTTTGAAAGAGCCCCGAACCCAGGACCGGGCCCTTAGAGACCACTACATCGTCTATCAATTCTTATACGTCTGTCCCTTAACAGAAAACGCAGTCATCAATGCTTCGAACTTATCAGAGAATGGAGGACGCTGATACAGAACTGACAAGTTGTTATGTGTGAATCGACCTTAAGGGTCACAAACGTGTTTCATTGATAGTTTGAAGTTATAATAGTGAATAAAAACAGTGGCTGAAGACAAACTACTCGAGAGTTGTGTAAATACTTGTGACGTAGACGGTTTGGTAGGCAAATATTGCGTAACACGTCTTCCTGAATGGCGAACATTGGTCTTAGTACAAAGATATTTTTCACAAATGTTTGTTACATTCCTCTGTTCGTAGTATCGTTGTTCATGTATTTGTTTTGTTATTACTGACCTTCCAGTGTTATAAAGTATTACCAATGAAGTTTACATCAGATTTGAACAAGCACAACATTTTTCTGTCTGATAGTAGTACATCACGTGACTTCCCAGACCGCATACGTCATATGGACTTGTTTTATTTACATTACGGTTAACAGTGGATTTAACGAATTTCATATTCAAAGGACAAAGTTATTCGCGCGAAATTATTTCTTTACATTAGTGTGTAATGCACCTTGTACATTACAGGTGTCCAGCTCATATTTATAATCTGTTTAACGGTGTTCTTAAAAACACGGCACTCAATTAATCCGTTATATCGAGGGTGTACTACATTTCACTGAAGAAGATTAAAGAAACAGCTCCTGCCATCCAAGTTTTTCAGTGACAAAGATGAGAATTTTACTTTCACCTTTCTTCCTTATTTTATCCGAACCCAAAGCTTTTAACCTTCCCTTGTTCGCTGTTAGGTTGTGAACAAGGGAAGGATTTAGCGACTCTAACGTTTTCGTTGTAAACCTCTGTGTAACCGGTTCAAACACAGACCGCGTATTGAAACAGAGTGCCACCCACATAAGCGTATCTCTTCGTCATAAGAGATATGTATCGACTTATATTCGAAGAACAAACGAAAAGAGAGAACTGAACATTTTTGCCCTTCTCGCATTGTATGATCCAAAAAATGATATGACGAGAAACCTGTCCCAATGCCAGTTTGTCCACCGGAAATTTCACATGGACTGCCCTAGGCACTAACTCGGGCCTTTGTGGTGATTAGTCGGCGACTAACCGCGTGAGCCAAGTGGCACGGCCTTCAAAGAACAACTCTACTAGACAGAACCGAGCTTGTCCTGAACTTTATTTGAACCCATTTAAATTCCAACTGAGTAACCGGGTAACCTTGAAGATGCTTTTCTTCTGTCCATTGAACTGGTGGGACCTTCAAAAACACCACGTAAATTTTAAATTTAGTAACTAAATCATATTATGAGAAGGAATGGGTTACTGAGTGATATCATCGAAGGCCAGGTTGAAGGAAAGAGAGGACTAGGAAGAAGATTGATACAGCTAACCGACGACCTTAAACAAGGAAAGAAGATGACGTTCCAGGAATTAAAGCGAGAAGCCGAGAATAGGGACAACTGGAGAGCTCTTTTTGGGCAGAGCAATGGACCTGTCGTAAGACAGAACACTTAATAATAATAATAATAATAACTAAATATCTAACAGGTACGTTATAGATTCTTAAATAAATCAACGATGCTGTTTAAACTATGGACATTACACAGAGTTGAATGTTGCTGAAAGATGTCAATGAATGATAAATCTGTAAGAATTGCGATTAGGCGACATCGGTACAGCGACAAATATGTATGAGTGCGTTTTGTTGTGAAGCCTGCTTGCTACTACATTTTCTCATATTCAAATTCAGAATTAAACCCTCGTCTTTAATCGCTCCTTAGTAGTCATATCTCAACTTAACCCTTATACGCAGCAACAATCATAGATCACGTAAACTGTAGATAAAACTATTTATTCGTAACTGGCGGGTTACATAAATTGCAGGCTAAAATAAGCGACATGTTTTATGTGTAATTAATTACCACATACTGCCACTTCCATGACATTAACATGTCCGCTGGCACCTTGGTGCCTTCGGTAGGATTTTGGGGTCCCGTGATAATTTCGAAACAATCGTAAGGACTTTTATATTACCACCAATGCACGTCACGTTGAATGGTGTGTACTGGATACGAAAAAACAATTCTTATTGTCCAAATTATACTTATTACGAACAGATATAACTTGCCACCCTCTAGTAATGTAATAAATATATAATGTATTTTTTAGTAGATATGAAATTTGCCCTTTGGTAACCTTAATTTGGTGTCTTAATTGTTAATCCATGAATAAATAAGGCAATGATACAACTATCTGTCACTGTAGGTGAAGAAATTTAAAAAATAAGTCACCGATACACTTCTAGATAACAGTTTTCTTAGAGACTTGAGTTGCCAAAGCACATCTTTCAGCTGAGTCCGCACAAAAGACTTAATATGTTAATAGTACGTAATAAATTTAGAGCAAATAATTTTGTTTTATAGTGTGGCAGATCGAACTGTGGAAGCCATAATTATTTAAATTCATATATTTTTGGTAGATTTGTATGGTACAATAAAAGTAAAGTAAAGCTGTCCCACTATACACCATGTAGGCGCTTGAGGGGAGAGGCAGGATAGCTCATACTCATTCTTGACCTTGCCCCAGGAAAGGACAGAACCGGTCTGGATGCAGAGACTAGAGGAAAAATCCTCTTCCCACGTCGGGGATCGAACCCAGTCACTATACTGACTGAGCTACGCTAGCTCACAGTTCTCGTTATAAATGTAAGCTGCTGATCCCTGTTCCAGAGAAATAATGTGTAGGCATTAGAACTTGGAAGTTCAACACCAGCAATATAAATCCCACACCTCAACTTTGTCCTATAGCAAGTTTAATCTAATTAGCGTTATTATAACCTAGATCATTTTTAGTATAATACAATTATCATTGTCCTGAACTTCTAAGTGTTCAGGTCTGTCTTGAGTTTCCCACAGCCACGGGTATGAAGATGTCTGTATTTTGAATTGTAGCACGATGTAGTATGGTAGAATTTTACCAACATTCCAGAGGTGCTTTCTGCCATCACCATGGTGATGGAGTCAACGAGTAAGGGGGGTCACAGCAGGAGCGTTAAATGTCGCGGTCCCGCTCGAACCCATGTACTGATGGGTCATGAATCCTGCTAACCACCAATGCACGTCACGTTGAATGGTGTGTACTGGATACGAAAAAACAATTCTTATTGTCCAAATTATACTTATTACGAACAGATATAACTTGCCACCCTCTAGTAATGTAATAAATATATAATGTATTTTTTAGTAGATATGAAATTTGCCCTTTGGTAACCTTAATTTGGTGTCTTAATTGTTAATCCATGAATAAATAAGGCAATGATACAACTATCTGTCACTGTAGGTGAAGAAATTTAAAAAATAAGTCACCGATACACTTCTAGATAACAGTTTTCTTAGAGACTTGAGTTGCCAAAGCACATCTTTCAGCTGAGTCCGCACAAAAGACTTAATATGTTAATAGTACGTAATAAATTTAGAGCAAATAATTTTGTTTTATAGTGTGGCAGATCGAACTGTGGAAGCCATGCTTCTGCGGGTCTATTCACTCCTGGTGCTGATTTACGATGTACTGTCTCTTATCTTCCTCATTATAAAGGCTTCTTTAGAAGCATTTTACCATGTCTTCTTTCCACCTCATCAGAAGTCCGTAGGAGGAGAGATTGTCCTGGTAAGTAATTAAGTTAGATACTCTATTACTTTGTCTATGCAGGGGGAGAATTTGCCCTTTTGCTCGAAGAGCCAGTTTCATTTAAGATTTTAATATTTGCTGTATGACACTGACGGCAATTACTACAGATACAGAACCATTATAAATATCTAGAAACTTTCCCTTTGTGATAGGATTCATTATTCTATAAGTGAGATTTGTATTTTTTCAGGTTGCAGGGGCAGGTTGTGGTATTGGACGAGAATTGGCCATACAGTTCTCAATTCTAGGAGCGACTGTCATATGTTGGGACATACAGGCTGGTAGTAACGAAGAAACTGCGATAAAAGCAGAGTCATTGGGATATGGCGCTGTCAAAGCATATGCATACACATGTGACATAACCAAAAGGGACCAGGTACAGTAAAAGACGATCTGCGAAAATTATAATTATTTTAACATATGTTATTCTCCAGTCCGGCTTAATTTATATGAATTTAAAACATTTTTTCACTTAGTAGAATAATGGAATGGAACACGAGTTTCCAAATGCTGGATACTGAGTTCAAGATGGGACCACCGCCCCCTATAAATTAAGTTTACTTTAACTGTTTTTCTCCTTTCTTTGCATCTGTGGCCCTTGAAAAAGCAGTGAATGTTCTCCGCACAGTCTGATCTCTGCCAACAATTTCATATACAAATCATTTCTGAGTTTTCCTTATTACTTTCACAATGAATATGGAGACAGTATGTTCTTCCACCCTGGTCCTCCAGGTTGGGGGTTGGTCGCAAGGCTAACAACCTTGCACCGTAAAAAGAAAGATGTTTCAAAACCTCGATCAAAGCCTCGAACAGACGGACCTAACAGAAGACCGAACGGAAGAGGAGAATTGAGGAGACCATGGACCGAATGCGGACCGGAGAGCCATAGAAGGAGAAGTTCTTCCAAAATATTGGAAATATTTACCAATAATATATGGAAAGAGTTAAAAATGGCAAATCAAAAGCTACCTTATTTTATGAGCATGGAATTCCAGAAGACGGAGACCTCGACTCAGATGGTTGGATGATTTGGAGGCAGATCTGAGGTATAAGGGGGCAAAGGGATGGAGAACGGAATAATTAAATAGAGAAGAATAGACATCGATCACAAGTGAAGCCAAGGTCAAACTTCAAGGCCTGTAGCACTACAGGAATAATAATAACAACAACAAACCAGATATTATAATCTGAAACAAAAATGGAACTTGTCTCTTAATTGATATAGCAAAACCTAGTGACAGGAATGGGATTAAGAAGAAAGCGGAGAAGATCTTGAAATACAAGGACCTTCTCATTGAAATGCAGCGAATGTGGAGAGTGAAAGCAAAAATAATTCCAATAATTATGGGAGCAACTGGAACTGTCTACAAGTCACTTAGAAAATATTTGGCCAACATTCCAGGCGAACGCATCAGGGAACTTCAGAAAACTGCCATTTTAGGACCTTCATACATCAATCGAAAGACGCTGTCGTAAAATATGTAGTCATTTCTAACACTAAAACTATATAATACTTGTAGCACGTATTAAAACAAAATTTATTTCGGAAATAGCTGCTGCGCTGTGTACGTCAGGGGCAAGGTCTGTCTCGGGTACATGGATGTAAATACTCTATAAAGTGGTGAATAGATGAAATAATAATAATAAGAAGAATGAATTTTAGAAAGTGCAATACACACTTGGATGAAAGAAGAAAACCAATTACATTTGTCTGTGGATTCCATAGAAAATTAAATAGGGCTGAAGCGGATCAGTTTAACGGACTATTCAGTGGGGATGAGACAATTGAAGTGTCTGACGGGTGACTCTGGAGACGGCAAGTCTGACATAGAAGGCGAATCTGCATCTTGTGACAATGCAGCAGCAGAACAGTTTTCCGAAAGTCTATGTAAAGTGATTGCGGATGATGAACAGTTGTACAACTGTGTTGAAACAGCACTGCACTACAAATTTCTTTCAAATAAATCTTAAAAATGCACCCAGTAAGGCAGGTATGAAAACTAATAGGAATTGACTTTGTTCCTGTTTGCCAATCAAAGTCCTTGATGTTTTCCCTAAATTCTTAATTAATCCCCTACATTTTGATAATTGTGTACTCCTATATTCAAAATGTACCTTAAAATTGTTAGAATACATCCACATGGACATGAACAAAGGTCTGCTACAATCATAAAGGAGTATGAAGATTTCTGTCTTCTGGGTTGTTGCACCGTGTAGTCTGGTCGATGTTAGCCAACGTTTCTGAGGTCATCGCCCTGATGACGGAGGCAGTAATTTCTGGGTCAAGTTTGAATCATCCTTGTACTTAGTAATTCCAGAAGAATAGTTTGCATTTATACAATTTTTCTGAGTCTACATTTATTTCATCCATCCAGGATCAGAGCTGTTTAAATATATATATAACTATAATTCTTGTCCTTTTTCCTCCTTCAAACGCTGATGATTAGGTTTGCCCAAAGATTCAATAATATTATTCCTCACAATAAGTTATTAATTGTTACAGGTGCATAAAACAGCACAGAGAGTAAAGAAAGATGTAGGAAATGTGACTGTGATCATAAACTGCTGTAACCTGCCCAGTCCACGTGTTCGTACTCGGCATCCTGCCCCTGACGTCTGCAAGACTTTGGATGTTGGCGTCATGTCACATTTTTGGGTAAGTTTGTGTCCTGTCACATAACTGAGAGAGTTTAAGGCTTGAGTCTTCTCACACTTCTGGCAGAGATTAAAACCTGCTCTTGCGCAACTTCCAAGAGAGTTTATTGAACCTTATCTTGGCAATCTTCTAATGAAATTTAAAGTCTGATGACTTGTCTCACTTTAGACTGAGTTGAATGACTTCTGTCTTGTAACATTTTGGATGATTCAATAATAAGTGTCTTCTCGCTTCTCGGTAAGTTTAACGTCTAGAGTCACAACATTTTTATGTGAGGTTAAGGACAGTTATCTTACCATACTTCTTTGTAAGAGTACAGACTGGTGTTGTCAGGGTTCTAGGGGAATTTTATTGGCGTATGTGGATTATTCACAACTGGAAACACACCTCATGTATAATCCACTTTTGGAATTGTGATGCCAAGTTCATAAAATATGAGCCAGGATAGCTCAGTCAGTATAATATAGACTGGGGTTCGATCCCCAACGGGGGCAGAGGATTTTTCCTCTAGCCTCTGCGTCCAGACCGGCTCTGGGGCCCACCCAGCCTCCTGTCCAATGGGTACCGGGGTCCTTTCCCGGGGGTAAATCACGGCCGGGGCGTGATGCTGACCGCTCATCCCCATCTAGTGCCGAGGTCAAGAAAGAGTAGGAGCTATACCTCCACTCCCCCCCAAGCGCCTACATGGCGTGTAGTGGGACAGCTTTACTTTACTTAAGTTCATAAAATAATAGGCAGTTACTGTGGCCATCAAGGAATTGCAGGATTATTCTTTTCTCACTAGGCTAGTTCATAATAAACAAAATACTGTTTTGTAGCTGTGTGTACTCCGATATGTTCACAGATACTGCAAGCCTTCTTGCCCAGTATGCAACAGAAGAAACATGGACACATAGTGATGCTTACTTCTGTCGCAGGTCTCGCTGGGATCAGCAATCTGGTGCCTCTCTCAGCAACTCAGTTTGCAGTCCAAGGTCTGGCTGAGTCCCTGAATGAGGAACTGAGGAATTACAGGTCCAGTGGAGACGTGAAACTCACACTGGTTCATATTTACCCATTCATCGTGGACAATGAAATGTCTACGAATGTGCAACTAAGGTAAATTGTCAAATCCAGAGTTTATAAATTTTTCTATCGATATACAGCAATCAGTATTTGTTTACTAAGAAACCTAAAACTTCGCATTTAGAAATGCGGTAAGAGAAAATTCACATAATTTTGAAACTATAAATATCAATAAATAGTGTCAACAATCCAGAAGACAGAAATCTTCATACTTATCGCCCTGATGATGGAGGCAGTATGACCTCTGAAACGTTGGTTAACATCGACCAGACTACACAGCGCAACAACCCAGAAGACAGAAATCTTCATACTCATCGCCCTGATGATGGAGGCAGTATGACCTCTGAAACGTTGGTTAACATCTACCAGACTACACAGCGCAACAACCCAGATGACAGTCATCTTCGTTGCTATCATCATTGTCCTCAGAGGGTTAATTCAATGATGCGTTCACCAGAAAAAGGATGTCGTATACAAATTAAAGCAATTTGTATTCCTTATTTTAGGATTCCCAGTTACTTTGGGACAATTGAGCCAGTAGCAGCAGCCAGGAAGATAATTGATGCAATGAGAAGAGACTACGTCGAGGTTAGCATTCCCGGCTATCTGCTATATGTTGGCAAAGTAGTAAGGTAAGACATCGATGGTGAATCATGGTCTAGAAGTCACATTGTGTTGAAATACGTTATTATGTCCCCCAAAAAGTTGGACCACAGTGCTAAGGTATTTTGATGATGATAGTGGTGGTGATGAGAGTGATATACCACGTTTGTGTTATTAGTAAAACATGTTCCTTCAGTTTTTGTGGTCTGGCAATGAACTACTCGCAAATGAGCTTTTTCCACTGTAACACATTCTTTGTGTTAGCCTATTGAATATAAAATGAACTAGTGACTGATTCTCTTAATGATTATAATAATGATTGAACTATATCGTATGTTGTTCAATGTCTGGAGTATCTTCAATAGGGCTGACCTGACGGTAACCATTCAAGTTCAATATTCCATTTAATCCAGGTTCGATCAGACCCTCTGCGATTAAAACTAACTCCCTGTTAGCAGAACCTGCGGGTTCAACACCAACACCACCAAAGCTCCCCCGCTGGACTCGATCCTGAGCAAACTCCAACCATTTACATCCCCAAAGCCCACTTCCCAAAAATCTATCTTGACATTATCCTTCTTGGTCTGTCCATTGGTCGTTTTCCACAAGGCTTCCCTGCTAAACTTCTGTATGCACCCCTTGCCTCCACCCATGCGTGCTACATGCCCAGCCCATTTTAACCTTCTATAAACAATTGAGATGTAAGAGTGAAGCTGGTCCTTATGAGATTTTACTTCCATTTCTGACGTTCTCTGTGGATATGTTTTCATTTACAAAACCGAGACTTGAAGAACGACTGTTTTTTGTAAGAATAAATTTGTAGTACATTACTGGCATGAAGAGTTTATTTAAATGTCTGAATTTCATCCGATATAATGTATTTTTATTTTATAATTAGTGGGATAGTGTACGGTAGAAGGAACAGCCACTACTGCAGTTGCATGGCTTGTGCACGTGCACGCTTACCTCACACTTCTAGCCTCCCCAACAGAGCGCACATAATAGTTACAATGTTAAAGATAATACTGATGACTAATGCTTGCTTATTAACAAAAAATTACTATACTATGTTTACTTTACAGACAAACAGCAATTAGACATTCTCTTTTGAACATCACAATCTGCATATTTAAGTATCCATTTCCAATTGCTCTCGGTTTGAGTTCCACACAGAAGTACGTAGTTGAATAATATACAAGTGTATAATTTTAATGAGTATTTGTGGGAATACAACATAATTATTAAAAAGTATACAGACATTGAAACTTTAACTTATAAACATGGTCTTCACATCAGAACTAATCCCTTACCCTAGGAATTTGCCTACAAGCAAACACAGGCAACTTAATGAAGTAGAGCCTTAAACTCCATTTTATCATCGGACTTGGTTACTCAACTCAGAAAATCCATTAATATTAATTCACATTTTCTTTAAGGTTAGGCAGACATATCAGTGTTTTTTTAATAGATATCTTGCATAAATAATTGTAATTAATGGAAGGTAGAGAAAACTCACATATTTTTGTGATTTTCCTAAGTCTTAAGGCAAATGCCAGGATAACACTGTCTTCGCCATTCTAACTTATTTATGCTCATGTGTTCATTCCATTCCACATATAATCCTTGTGGTAGAAACAGTGTTAAAATTAAACCTGTCACACTACAAGATATTGAAATGCTTTGGGGTAGGGAGGTAAGCTCCTACTAATTCTTGACTTAGCAGTAGATGGGGATGAGTGGTCAGTTTCATGCACTGGTTATATTTTAACCCCAGAGTACCAGTTTGGTGGCCCTCGGATCCAGAAGAAAAATCATTTGCCCCTACCAGGGATAGAATCCCATATTCAGACGTGCTAACCGAGCTATCCCATCTCATATAAACAGTGTTACCAACTGACCAGACTTAAACTTTGAGGTTAATTGTTTAGTGGTATTCAGCTGCAACAAACATAACCTATAACACAGCTGTTAAAGACTGAATAACTTAAGAAGAAAGGAAAATAAGCCATATCCTTCTCTTCTCTTTTAATTGTATTGCAAAATAGAATGTAATAAAGACACTTTTTTGTTCTGTTTAAGCCTCCTGCCTCGAAAAGCAATTATCGCTATGCGTGAACTTCTAGATACTGGTGTAGACTTTGGCTGATGGGTGTTTGTTATGAACTGTGATTGGAAAGAAGCTGAAATGTCTTGGAATTGAAAATAAAACTTCATTTATCTCAGATTGATGTACTTTGAGGAGCAATTATATGTTAATGTGTGGTATGTGATATAAGTTGTTGAATTCAGTCCTAACATATTCATGTGTTTTGAAGTACTATAATTTTTTAAGCCATTTAATTATTTCATGTAAAATGCTGTAAAATAAATTGTATTTGTGCATTATATGAAAAGATATCTGTATATTATTTTGGAACCCCTCTTTCAAATCCTCACCGAAGAAGAGAAGCAACATGAATATTCCCAAAGGGAAAAAGTAACAGATCACACATCACAACATTCCATGGAAAAAGGTTAATTAGCCACCGCAATTTGCCCTAGTTTTGAGTGTGTGTGATTTTTACAGTTGGAGGATATTGAAGCAAAATGTGTATAGGAACAATCCGCGTACTCTAAGACGCCTCGAGAATTAACTCAGGAATGCAACAAAAGATATTACAGAAGGTTAACTTCAGCGAGTGTCCCAAAACGTCCTATGCCGATGTCAATAATCCATAATTAATTAAGAAGTAGTCAACTGTGTTAGATAACAGCATGGACAGGAAGCGAGACTTTGTTATCACAGCATAACTCATCGTTAAGTCCCTTGGGTTGGGGAGGTTGTACCAAGATGCATTAAAATAAAACCGGCACGCGGAAAGTTAATTCGGTCGTGAGCTGCAGGACGTTCCTCGCGAATGCACCGGTTCTGGCCGGCAAAAGACGCGTGGCAAATCCCGTTAAAATGCCGTTACCTCTGGTTTGGTCCTTCTTGTGTTAAACATCAAACTTTTTAGAACTAAAATACACTGTTCGGAATATGTGGTATGAACACATACTTACAACGTGTAATTAATGCGTTGTTGTTGAAGTGTTAAAATATGGTAAAAACTAGGTTATGTGCAGAAAAAGTAATAAAAACTATAAAGTGTAGTCTGTGTAATAACGTTGTTATATCTAGCATAACATCCAAGGTGAAGGACGAAATTACGTAGTAGAAATATGTAAATTTCAATATGGGCATTGTCTGTTTGTGAGATGCCCTTGGAATTCATAAAACATAAGTACAAATAGTCAGCAAACATGTCTGGTTTTACACTATACAATATGAACACATATCTTATTTTAGGTTAAAAACATTCACCTTTATATTGATCATTCAGCCAAGAAATTACAAATAATAAAAATTTTCAGTAATCACTTACCCCAGTATTGTTTCCAGTACACATTCCAGTAAACACTAGGGCAGAATTCACATCCCAGACAACTTTACTTTATAATATTTCCTGAATGTTTGCTACTTCACAAACTCTCCCTTCACAACTAATGTCTTCAATGGCTACATATCAGGCTGGCCATTTCGTAAACAGAAAATACCCATCTACTGCCTAATTCTATCCATTGCCTTGAATGATATACTAGCCATAATATCTTTACTTTACTTTTTATTTTTTATATATTTGTTGCTCTTTGATCTCACCTATTGATAACCTTGTTATATCACGTTTTAAAACTTCAGTGATTACACATTAGTTACACATTGTAGGTATGTTTTCCATTTTGTGTTTTGATACCCACACAACAGGATGCAACCCTTTAAGACAGGAGTCTGTATTTCGGTCCTTAGCGGTTTGTGTAATACGTATGAAGATAAATTCGAAACTAAATGTTAACGTATTTCTTTATTTTAATTTGCTCTTCGTTTAATGATGAATATAAATATTACTAGTTTGCCAGTTTTCAAAGGATTCATCCTTGTATTATGGTTTTGCCGTGTATGTGGTAATATGCATAGTCTGCCTGTGAAATATGAAAATTTATTCATTCCTTGCAATGAAGCTCATAAAATGGAGGAGAAATTAAGATCATTTATGTGGATAATATAAATATCAGGAGGCATATTGAAAGGGGTGTGGACCAGAAATACTTGTTTTCACTTTGGAATTTGGAAGTAGGGACAGGCAAGATGTTTAGATATATGGATATCCCTGTATCATTTGATTTTCTGTGCCAATAACAAAGCGCTAGGATGATTAGCCAGAAATTAACAAGGGCGACAAGTATACACCTCATGGTCCCCAGCAGGTCACCCCCAGCGAACTGAGGCAGTAAGTCATTTGTGATGTTATTGATATCAGTTAGGTGCTGCAGTCTGGTGTCAGCTCCATCAACTATTGAACGCGTCTGGCTAAAGTGTATTCAGCATTCAAAATTTCTTACAAAACGAAATGCCAAACGTATGGTGAATATAATTGTAAGATTTACATAAATAAACTTTTAAAAAATGTATTTATTACAATATTATCAGAAAATTATTATATGATAATTATACTGAACTGTTCGTGGTTAATAAAACTAATCTATCCAGTAAAAAAACTTTGGTTTACATACCTCGCCGTGTGGCGTACGTTACGTATCGTAGTCGATAAAACATAACTCATATATATAACAATAAAGGTATTGTATAGACAATTCGATATTTAGTACAGGGTTTTAATGCTTTAGAATGGCTGCTAACGTATACGATACGTATCGTAAAAGCCCAGGAATGCAAGATACACATAACAAACACAAACGTATAAAGAACAACGCTTTGGAACGAAACTCGTTCTAAACCGAGAGTTGCCGAGGGCATGAACTATTGTAAAGATAAGTGAATTGCCGCACCACGTAGTGGCGAAGACTTGAACTATTGTAGAGATAAGTGAACTGCCGCGCCATATATTAACGAGTGCATGAACTAATACAGTTAAGTGAACTGCCGCGCCACGTATTGGTAACGGCGTAAACCAATGAAAGGATTAAGTGAATTGCCGCGTCATCTGTTGGGAAGGTATAAACTAATTTGCCCGCGAATATTTTCTGACCCGTTTACCTCCTTGGGTATCGTATAATCCGGATAGAAACACCGAAAAATCTCAAATCTAGGTGACCAGCACCGCCCTCTATTGACAAAGACATGAACTAATGTGAAGATAAGTGAATTGCCGCACCATCTGTTGGGAAGGTATAAACTAATTTGCCCGCGAATATTTTCTGACCCGTTTACCTCCTTGGGTATCGTATAATCCGGATAGAAACACCGAAAAAAACATAAAGCTAGGCGACCTGCTCCGCCCTCTATTGTCAAAGACATGAATTAACGTAAAGATTAGTAGTTATCAATCTTAGTAATATAAAAACTAAGTATCAATAAATACTGTATCTGCCATTTTTGTTTTCTTGAAACCGTATAATAGATCATTGAATCAAAATGAGAAATTTTAAGAAAAAGAAAAACATAAAACAAGATGGACCTACAAATGCTTCAACTAAGCAAGACCAACAAAAAGAACATAAATATGATGACAGCTATCTCCAATCTCCTCAACACCCGATTCTCAAACACCTGCAATCTGTGTTCCTCCCTCTGAGTGAGAGACCATGTTTCGCACCCATACAAAACAACAGGCAAGATTATTGTTTTGTATACTTTAATTTTCAGGTTCTTAGAAATCAGACGGGAAGACAAAATATTTTGAACTGAGAAGTAGCAAGCATTTCCATAATTTAATCTCCGCGTTTTTTTACGAATTGAAGGTTTGTGGCAACCCTGCGTCGAGCAAGTCTATCGGCACCATTTTTCCAACAGCACGTGCTCACTTCGTGTCTCTGTGTCACATTTTGGTAATTCTCGCAATGTTTTTGTAGACATAATGCTATTGCACACTTAATAGACTACAGTACAGATTAAACATAACTTTTAAATGCACTGGGAAACGAAAAAATTCGTGTCACTCGCTTTATTGCGGTGGTCTGGAACCTAACCCGCAATATCTCCGAGGTATGCCTATATAATAATTATGATGCTGGACTTAATCGATCGTGTAATCGATTGTATTGTTAAAATCATAACGTTTTAGACGTTGATTATATTTCGGTCTTCAGGTGTGAAGACAGAATGTAAATGTATTGGCCCCCTGGTCATGGCAATCTTAACCTTTGACAAAACACGTGAACATGTATTAGCGAAAGTGCTAATTCTTCGCCAGTTTTTAATAAACTGCATTTAAGTAATGAAATTGCTTATTTATTATGACAGTTTAATGAATTTATGATTACGTTAGAGCGGACTGTTCTGGTTATTATACGTTATAACCGACGATTACGCGAAGTCACTTGGTAAAAGTGATAAATGTGTGTAGATTTCATGTTATTTATAATTGAATACCATTTTACGTATTTTACAAAATCTGCTGGTAAATGTAATACTCTTTGTAACAAAGGTCTGTAGATGTTAAATCGAGAACAACTTACTAACACTCCAAAAATAGAAGTCTTCTTTTGCCAACATTTGTTTATTTATTTATATTAGTCTATTTAACAACGCTTCGCCAGCTGCTTATTGAGGCAGCTCAAGACTTGTTTCATCAGTCAACATTAGTCTCGGACATAGATTTGTATGTTACTAGCGGGTTTCGAACTTGTGACATCTATGTTCAACTGGTTTAAGACCTAAGGCACGTTTTTAATTTGTAATATTTTAGGTTCATTTTTATGGCATTAACTTTTAATAAATAAAATACACATTACAGACACAACAGAAGTTATAGCATACTGAATAATGATTTGATAAATTTTAAAACAATTCGATGAGTTTATTTACTGCAGAGAACTTATTTTCTTACCATAAAATTAAATAATCTTCATAAAAGAGGGTCATTCCTATGTGTCTTGGGTCTGCTGGTGTTTAAATTAAAAAAAAATGAAGGCAGTATTTTTTCTAAAGTGTTTTAACCACCATTTATAGTAACCTGCTTTATGGAGTGTCTGTGTACGCGTATGGATCGTTCTGTTCTAAACAATCCTAAATCAATATTTCAGAACTAAATTGCTTTAGTCAGGAGACTCGATACATGAAACTCGCACGAGTGTTTTTATGCAGCGCGTTATTTAATTTGACGTATTTTTGTTCTCTTTTCATGGGATGCTGCGTTAACTCTGCACTGTGATGGCTCTGATATATGAAGCTCACTCAATTTCTCACGGATAATTTGTCTTGCCGGAGATAATCCAGCAGCCACGGTTTGTGGTCAGCCGGGCTAGAAACAGGACGGAAAGGGGGAAACCGATACTTGCGTGTGTGCAAACAACAAATCTGTGAGAGATTTTCACACTTTCAACTTCAGTTAAATCAGTAGCTGGTAGCACGTAGACAGGCTGATATCAGGAAATGAACTCTAATTAACATTGATTATTGGAAAGGAAAAATGGTTTATAGCCACTGTTTTTATTTGCCTCGCCATTATAACAGAAGGAAGTACTATATATATATATATATATAGTACAGTCGCGACTCATATCAAATGTAGCAAATGTTGATGAGAAAAGAGTTTAAGAACATAAATATAACGTAATTAAAGAAAAGAGGACCAACATAATTTGTGTCCTTCACCTTTACACTGCTTAAATAAAGGAAGGTGAGTTTGGGTATGACATATACAACGTATTTGAGAAATACGAAATATTAGAAAAAATATTGTGAAAACCGAACGAAGATCATATGTGAAATACGGTCTTAGTTGTATGAAAATATTGCAAAATTAGAAAGGTGTACTCTTTTGAGTACGCTGACATCCCAAAGGTGTTCCTCGCGCCACATAACGTAGGCCGTTGTTGCAGTAATGCGATCCGAGGTAATTGTCGCATCTCAGGTCATTCTTGCTTTGAAGTGTTCCCAGGCTATAGCTGCTCAAGAGTGCCTTCTAACAGTGGCCTTAAGCCGTTCTTGCACTGATATGTCCGAGGCCGCATTGTGGCCCAACAATAGAAGCCAAGCCCTTGGATCCCATACTTGCGCAAGACATATTTCAGCAATGCGACCTTGAGAGGGTTACGAAGACGAAATTTATGCTTCTCCCGGAAATCTATCCTCGGTTGTCCAGTTTCTAGCCAGTCACTATATTTATGAAGTTCTTCTGGTTTTTGGCGAGTCTATAGGACACCAAAACCCAGAAAAACATCATCAATCTCGCAGTCACTGACTGAGCTAAACCACCTGAAATACGTTTAATACAAATTGCTTTCAGGCTGGTGATCGTACTGAAATCTCTCGGAACACATTATTTATTATTATTTAATTATTATTTAGTGTTCTGTCTGACGACAGGTCCATTGCTCTGCCCAAAAAGAGCTCTCCAGTTTATTTACTACAAGAGATAAAATTAATTTATGCAGTGAACATACCATCTAGACAGAATGCCCAGAGGAAAAAGGTTATACGAATCCAATTTGAACTATTGTACGAAGAATAGAACATATAGCATTACATGGGTTTCTAGCCCATCCATAAAAAAACAAAGGAAAAAGAAGTAGTTGATATAGCTAAGACATTTTTCGGGATACTCTTTTTCAGTTCACGGCGCTTAGACACTGGTCAGGCGGTGACTAAGCCTGAAAGTACTTACCCGACTTTGCTTCACAAAGAGCAGCTGTTTTTGTTGTAGTATCATTTCTATTTCTTTCGACACGCAAATCGTCAAACTGGACATTAGCCTAATTGCAATTGGGCAATCTTTTGACTACAGACCTTATTGCTTCTAATGCGAAATTACGGATATTCCCAACTGTCTTTGCGTGAGGAACATCTGTCTCACTGTTATTTTCGTCCCAACAGGAAATCGTTATTCAATATCACAAGATGACGTCACGCATCTCGATTTTT